GAACCTACCTCTTCTCAGGGTGAAGAAGAAAAATGAAGTCCCAGCAAGCCCAGTACCACTGTAAGCTGCTGTCTCCATTACAGTCTAAAGTCTGAAGAAAACATGACCTAACTGCCCCAAATGCCTCGAAGATCCCAGCCCAGCACTCAACAACATGATGTACATTGTAATATGTGGTGCAGCTCTATACTTTTCTTGACCACTACTGTAGAAGATTCAGGTACTGTCCATAATTTTTTTCACCTATATGTATCAAGAGTGCACTGATACAAGGCCTACCAGTTACTTTTTGTAGAATATTATATGAAAAAAAATGTCTAGAGAAAATACAAGCATTAAGAAACTTAAAACTAAAACCAAAACCAACAAAAACAAAAACCAAAAAAAAAAACCCAAACAAACAAACGAAACCCCACAAAAACAAACAAACAAACAAAAAAAAACCACTCAAAAAACTGAGGCATAAACCTGTAGAATCAGAATATCAGTATGTAAGTTTCAGATGTTATCTAAAATTTAAATCTTATCTAAAACTTCCCCAAACACTAAAACTCAAATTGGGAACAGGTACGTGGACTTCAAAAGCACATTATTTGTAAGCCTTTATTCCTCACATTGATGAGTATCTCTGGTTACTTGAAATGACAGCTGGCATTCACATGGAAGGAAGGAGTTTCTTTTTCCACTATTACCTCATTGTATGTACAAAAACGTTGTTTGAAGATATGATGTGATTTGACATGAAGTAAGGCAATGGTAAAAAGAATGTTTAAAAGTTTCTTTCAGCTTGGGTGATTCCTGTCAGCTTACGAAACCAGGACAGAGCAAAATGTTTTGTTAATAATTAGCAGGTTAATTACCCATAAGCAGTGAGTAATTTGTATTACCTATGTGGTTAGCTCACCACGCTAAGACCCATGCTGACTGCACATGGCCACATCGCCTTACAAATTAAACGATCAGCCCTACAAGGCACTGCCTGTCCTCAAGTCCTATTGTTGTTCCAACAGTGAACAACATCTAATCCAAAAGAGATTCCTAAGGGATGACAAATGTGTGCTGGATTTCAGACCTAGGAAAATGAACTTTAGAAAATAAAGAGTCAAGAAATGCAAAGAGATAAATTTAAATAACTGAGCCCCACCAAAGCTCTGTTCTGGTTATAGTGATTTTGCTTTGTTGTCTGTTCAGTATTCATAAAATGACAGGTATCATCTGTTGTCAGAGGAGCTAGGACAAACATTACTGCAGGAGCAGCTACTGCTCCTGGCCATACACATGCCTACATGCCTTGTGTGCACTCACCTCATCCCGGGACTCACTTTGCCTAAAAGCACATTCCCAGAGCTCCCCCTCAGCTCTGTTTAGTATGTGCCTGTGGTTTTCAGTCATGCAAAGACCTCCACATACAATTTGCAGATCAGCAGGACTGGCTAGCCCTTATTAAACAGACCCTTCTGATTAGATTCAGAGAAATTAGTGGAGTTTTACTATATTGACTACAGTGAAATCAAAATTTCCCCTGACATCACTATACTCCCAAGTCCCAGTGGAATCCACAAGGTCATTTGGTACTGGCCCTGACCGAAAACAGATGTAGCACAGCACTGCAGGGAGTTGCATGCCAGGAAGGGAGCTGGTTCACTGCCAGTCCTTCCTGCACTCACCCAGGCAGAGCAGAGACAACAGAATGCCTCCTGGGGTGCTAGAATGTGGCAAGTTTAAGGCACACCCTACCACCCAGCCACCACCACTCTCACCAGGCTGTACAGCCCACCAATGAATGCACTCATAAACAAGCAACTGCCTCAAACACATTTCCTTTTAATTTAATAAAGCATTGAGGTGAGCTACAAAACTTTTGACTTGGCCTCAACTGGAAACTGCAGTGTTAATAAGAAAATTATCAGGCAGCAATAACGACTCAGAAGTGAGTTCCCATTTTTTGGTATCCAAAAGCTCTAAGTAAGCATCAGAATGCCAAGCAACCTAGGCTGCCAAGGAAAGTATGTGTGAATGAGGCAGGAGGAAGAAAAAGTATCCTGAACTACGCAGAAATTTTACACTATAGTCCAAAGGAAACATGGCTGGATGAATCATCATCTTTTATTTAATATCAAAGAACAGACACTGTTTTACAGTAGGCATAAAATAATGCCAGCTCCTTCATTTTTCTGCAAACTGTGCCCAAACCTATTCCAGTAAAAAGCTCTGTTTTGCTTTCTCATCAAAATACTTTAAAGGCTTACAAGGGCTTGCTTTCCCAAAGGCATGAGAACTGTTGGAAGTGACTTTAGTACTACAGATCCTACAACATGAGAATTACTATATGCTACATATAGGAAAGATATAAATTGCAAGCTGTAATATTGTATAAATATAAGCTCAGTCATCAGATTACTGCTTGTGTAAGATGGTGCTCAATAGTAAGCAAACTAATATCCAATGTGCCTCAATTCTTTGATTCAATATTTGCTTAAAAATGGGGTTTTAAACTCAATTTTTAAAATTAGTAGCTTCTTTGGCTTTAAACAAGACCATTAAATGTTATTTAAGCATAGATTTATGGGAAATTCGTTTACCAGAAATCAATGTGTGGATTCTTCTTAGTTGCAAATTATTAATATGTGGTCTGTTGAACAGATGCACCTCCTTCTACTCAAAAGCTGTGCACAGAATAGTTTCAATGGTATTTGAAACGTTACTGAAAACTGCTATTTTGGCCACTGGAATAACGTTAGCACCACCTAGGGGCACAAGTTAAAACCACGTTCACATTTTACTCAGAAGGATTTTAATCTGAACATGTAAATACGTTATATCTCTTTATCTTAAGGAACGTCCCTCTGGCCTATGGTTTTGAGGGCTATTTCTGATAGCCCTCCAATGTCTTCATTCAAGGAGCTAGGACAAACCTTTCTGAAGGAGCAGCTACTGCTCCTGACCATACACATGCCTGCATTCCTCATCTGCACCCACACCATTCTGGGAATCCCAGAGAAATTTCTCACTTTTCCAGGAGACACGTTCCTAGAGCTCCCCTTCAGCACTCATAGTACATGTCTGTGGTTTTCACCACATGTCATGCAAAGACATCCTATCACTCCATTTTTCAAGACTACCTGATTTTTCTAGTACGTTTTCTAATTTTCTAGTACAATATTACCACTCTCATAAAAAAGTTTACAAACTTATTTTGTCAGAAATGTCATTAATAGATAACTAAGAGGTTTTCATTTTCACTTCTGACTAGTTCCCTACCTTTCTAAAAACGTACCCTTTTGAAGACTTGTCTGTTTCTTGCTGTGTTTTATTTCAACTGAATAAATTCAGTTATTATATCCAGCTTTTCTATGGTATTCTAATGGCTTTCTAAAAGCTTGTTTAGTAAAATGCACTGCTTTCCTCAGACCAGAGAACCCTTTGATGAAGTCTGGTAACTTTCACTAGGACTTTCGACTGTGTCTCTCTGTTAATAATGTAATTTTGCTCTCCAGCCTATACTGGGAAGTGGAATCCAGCCATCATGACTATGCACTGCGTTGAGTTTATCTTTCTAATAATACTGGGTACTCAAGACACCCCTAAACAAATGAGAGTCAAAGTTTTTAGCAGATACCCAACATGATACAATTGAGACTCCTGTAGTATTTTTTATAAGAGAATTTGAACCTACCCAGTTCTTTTCCTTTAAACTATGCCACCACTTCAGTACACAGTAGTGTCTATTATGCATGCTTTACTTCTTTCTTCCTTGAACAGTGAAACATTTTTGTGTCATCATGTCATTCTGTGTCACAACTTAAGATTTTACTCTTGCTGTTCCACTATTTGATTTCTTTGATACACAGGTTTGTATCTTACTGTGATTATTTCTAGTCATTTGCATTAGTATGAAATCCATCAATTCTTTCATTACATGTATTGTCTGACTGCTACCAGTGTAATTTCCTGTCTCCTTACTGCCTTACTCTTAACAGATGCGAGCAGTTTGACTCTACAGTGTACCCTTTTTGATATTGGAATGCTTCACAGTCACACAAGACTTGTATGTAGTCCCTGTCCCTGACTTCATCTGCTAACATTTTCTTGAGCTGACTTAAGCAGGAAAACACATTCGTTAAATATTTCTTCCAGGCCCCAGGAAATATGTATTTTATTTAATAATAATGTGAATGTGACAGCAGTATTCTTGACAGCGGTATTCTTGATCCTGAAAAATTAATCCATAGAAGCACAGAGGTCATGTAGTCCAATCACTCTCCTCACTTCACCATCACCATGGACACATCCACCAGCTGTGCTCTGCAAGAACAGAACACGGTGCATCCTCATTTCCAGATAAAGCCTAAGGAATAAAACTCCTAGCTGCTGTATGCAGGTCCCATTTTCTGCCATATGAAAGCATTTAAATTCAGGTAAATGGTGACACTGACAGCTTTTATGCTCAACCAGCAGAGAAATGCGTTGTGCTAGTTGTCCTCCACTATTTTCCTGCACCGTTTTTGTACCACTAAGGAATCACAGCCTGACACTGAGGCAGTAGCAGCCACACACACGGGCCAACAGAAAAGGGGTAAATGACAGCCACGGTGGAAGCCACCTGACACAGGAGGCATACAAGAAGTTCACAGCAACAAATAAACGTTCAGCTAAAGGGAAGAAATACCAAGCGCTTCTTTAAATGCGAAACTAACGAAACCTCAGCAACTACATGCAAACTACGAGCAGGCGGCGATAGGCAAACGCCCATTAAGGCACAGGGAATAAGCGAGGCCATCTTGGTTAAGGGTAATACCTTCCACTCCCGGCAATAAAGGAGGCGGCCGGTCTCACGGGACTTCCGCCCTGGACCAAGGTGTCTCCCCGCTTCCGCTTCTCTCATTGCGTGGAATAGGAATGGCTGTCACTAAGCTGTCGGTGCTCCACTGCGCCGCTCACTGCCGTGAGTGCCTTTGCTGGTGGGTGTGCGCTCCCGTGAGGTGAGGGGAGCTCGGCCCGGCTGCGCTTCCCCGCCGCGTCCTGGCTGCCACCGCTCGGAGATCTGAGGCTTCGGCCTTTCCCTAGCTTAACCCTGCCCCGGGTTAGACTGCTATTTATGCTGGCCTGTGGGAAGTTAGTAACTTTTAGGGATGCGGGGTGCCTCAGCCAGGTGAGAGTTTGAAGTGTTCTGTAGAGACTCTGTTTGCTTCAGCTGAGCAGCAGCATGCTGCAGCCTCGGTGTTGGTGACAGTCTTCCTCTGCCTTGTGTTTGGATGGCTCATGACTGCCGTAGGAATGGTCCCAGCTGATGCCTGGCTGAGTTGGTACGGGTGGTGGAGTTTCCCCGTGGTTTAGGTATGTATGCAGGAGGGCATGGCACTAATCCTTACCAGCCTGCTGTGGGCGCTGGGATGTGTCTTTCCAAATCAAGAGCAAGCTACTGTTGAAAGGAAGGCTGTGCGAGAGTAGTGCCGTATTTAAAAACTGTCTTCAGGTAATACTGGACTCTGTAAGCTCCCGTGTCTCACAATTAACACTTAACGGCATAAGAGAGTAGTTGTAACTGTTCCTAGCATTGACCTGGTCAGTCTGCCTGAGGCTCACAAAAAAACCTTTGGAAGATGTATGCTATCTTTTCTTGCCAGTTTTATTCTGTTCTTGAAAGAGCATTAAAAGAAAGAGATTACATTCATGAACATGACAGCAAGACAGTTTTTTCTTGAGGGTGCCGCTTCCCTTTAGCTGAAATGTCAGTTTAATAATGTCACACTGAGAATGTTTTTTGTTTGTTGGGGTGTGTTGGGTTTTTTTCTTTTAATAAAATACTTTTTTCAAATGCCTTAAGTATCAAAGGGCTCTGTGTTTTCTTGTGTGATTTCTGTAGGTAAAATGATGGAAGTGAGGCACTTTGGTTGTGGGGAGTTTGTTGGTTTCAGCTGTGCCTTGACAAATCAATTATAATCCAGACGTGGGTTTAAGAACTAGGGGTGAAACGCAGCAAACTGGTACTCATTTTAATACAGATCTTTGTGTCTTTCTCAATCTGTTTTGGGTGGTGGTTGTTTTTTTGGGTTAATTTTTGGTTGATTGGTTATTTTGTGTTGGTTTGTTGTTTTGGGTTTTTGGGGGGTTTTGTTTGTTTTTTTGTTTTGGGGGTGGGGTTGGGTTTGGTTTTGGGTTATTTTTCAGAACTTCCTTAGGGTCAACAGTATTCAAAGCTTTTGTGGCTGATGGCTTCTAGTGGCAGTCATGGGCAGCAGCTGATCTTTAAAGGTCCTATGCCTCTGTGAAGTCTATGCAGTATGTGTGTGTCTTCACTCCTGTGGTGCCTGAAAAGGGATAGGATCCTCCAAATTTTTCACAGTTTAGTACCCTTATGGAAGAGAAAGTCACAGGTTATTTATAGCACCCACAGAAGGAATTCAGCAGCTTACTGCAACAAAAGGGTAGTAGTAAGTTAGGTGGTCCCCGAAGCATGTGGGTCAGAGTGCTTCCAGTCAGATGCAGCACATCTTGCTTGTAATCCAGGTGGATAGGTAAGAGAAACCAAGGGAAGGAATTGTGGAAAAGTAAAGGGGACAGAGGAAGAGTGGAAACATGCAGAGATGCTCCGTGTTGGAAGCCTCGTCAAGAAAAGCAAAGCATGGATGCTGTTTGATCTGTTAAATGTGTGGGTTAGCTCACTTGAGTTACTATGAAGAGACTTTGTATGCTTGTGAGGCGCAGTTCTTTTTGCAGCATGTATGATTCAGTGTACCAGAAGGGACAGCCTCAGCTGAGGGTCCCCTTGGGAAGGATTGTAGCCATCAAGAGAGGACGTGGGAATTCTGTTTGCATATAGCCTTTGACTTAAAGATTTGCATTATGTTTAGGATATTGAGTGAAAAACTGACAGTTGTGGCTGAAAACAACTTTTTACTCCATGCCTGGCAAGAATGTTGCAATTCTGATTCCAGAAACCACATCATTTGATGGCAGAATTGTGTAGGTTGAAATAATGCTAACAGTTTTCCATTAAAATAAGTGAAAAAGGAATTTAAATTCTGAAAAATTTGTAAAAAAAAAAAAAATTGTCACTCATTACTAAAATGCTGGAGTTGTGAAATCCTGTCAGTAAAAGCTTTTCAGCTTTTAAAATGTTAATTTTGTGGCTTATTCTGTAAATGAAATATATTTGGGCCCCTCCGTGCTTCTTTTAAATAAGATGTCTGCTACAAGTTAGTGGTGTTTATAAGCTCTTGTCTGATGTGGTGCTGCAGTAGTTTCAGTGCAGCATGTAAATATGCAGCTAATATGACAAGTATATAACTTTATGATCTCTAACAGACCCACTGTATAAATGTGAATCCTCTTCTAAAAGAGAGATGGTGAAGTTGCCTAGAGTGTCCTTCTTATACTGACGACTCTCTGAATGTTTATTCTGTCACTCCTTTCTCTTTTATAAGTGTCATTTTTCTGTATTTGTAGTTTTACGGTTGTGATGTGTGATGGTGGTGATGTGGTTTGGTTGGGTTTTTGGTGGTTGTTGTTTGTTTTGGTTGGTTAGTTTTTTTAGAACAGCATCTCCCAAATGAGCTTCAGAACCCAGAGTTTTTACTTTCCTATCGCTTCCCTATTTGTGATGACAGGATCAGTTAAAGCTTTACCTCTTAACTTCTCAAGAGCCTGCTTAGCTCCTCTTAGGGACACAGCCAGCCCCTGAGAGCAGTCTGACCTGCAGCCAGTTGTTGTTAATGAGCTGAGAAGGAGGCAGGTGAGTTGCAAGTAAAGTGGCTTGATGTATGTATGTACAGGGTCTGCCAGCTGTGCAGGGAAGCAGGTCAGGGAGCTGATCCAGGTCCGTTATCACTCTTCGGCTGGGATATCTTTTCTGAGGTAAATATTCTGCTGTAAGAATATACTTAAAAAGGCAAAGTAAAAAAGGTTAGTGATGGTAATATTTATGTAAAGGTTTGATGATAAAACTGCGTTGCAAAATGAAGATTATTTGTACTGAATTGTGTACAAAAGCCTTCCCTGATATGCTTACTGACTTGGTTTATTCTGAAAGTACATTAATCATGACTCTTGGCTATGTTACTAGGTTTAAAAAACAGATCTTCAATTTTACGCACTCTTTAAATATGTGACAGTTACTAGAACAGTTTAACAGCAGCCCTAGCATTTATTCTCTTGACTCCCTTGCATGGGAGGGAACGTAGCCAAAACACTCAGGGCTTTTAGACTATCATTCTTAATTGGAGTGCTAAATCAAAGTGGAAGTAATCATCTAGAATTGGAATATAATGTCAAGAAGACTGAAAGCACAGCCTAGTAATTTTAACCTGTACGTTGAAAAGGTGAAAATTAGTTTGCCTTTGTCTTAAGAAATTATGACCTGCCCCAAGAGAAATTTTTTGTGGGAAGGGATGCCTTAATACCTTTGTAACTGTAAGCCAAAGGACAGGAATAAATATTGACTGCAATTGCACTGAAAGACTATTGGATTGAATGGTGATTCATATAGGTTTGGTTGTTTTTTTTTTTTACAAAGCTAAAATGTACAGGCTTAAACCTGGTCTTGTGATTCAAAAGGCTGAAAATAGACAATGTTTATTAAAATGTGTCTCGGAGGCCCAAGTTGCTGGATTAGCAGTGTACCATTCTGGGCATTTGTAGTACCAGCTCAGCAATTTCACTGGCAGGAAGAGCAACATCTTGTTTGGAAAGCTGTGTGAAGCTTTCTGACAAGTGCAGACTAAGAATGAAAATATGTAATTAGCTCAGTTTTGTAAATTAGCATTATTTAACATTGGTATTTCAAATAATTTGTATTAATGAGAAGTTACTAAAAAGCTGTCCTACTTTGTCTTCCATATATGTTGGCCTTCACTTAGCTATTCCTCGGCTTCTTGATGGTCCTCTGAATTAGGGTATTTTGATTTTTTTCTGTCTAAAGATTAAGTGCGTGCATGCTGAAATCTGGGATTTTGGAATTTGTAAAAGTCTGTCCCCATAGCCATAAAAATAGATTGGGTTGTCTCAGTTGTACTTCTACCAGATTTGCTGTCCTTGTATAATATCTGCTTGATTGTCTTGTCCAATGCAGTATCTTGGAGCATAGCTGCAGGGTGTAATTAGAAGCAAAGGCAGGATTAATCTTTGGAGCTTCAAAGCCCAGTACTTAAATCATGCATAAGCTCGGTTTGAATAGTACTTGATTTGGTCTTAAGGCTTCAGTTTTGAACCTGCTAATCAGATGATTGTTCCTCTTATTTTTCTGCAGAAAAACAGTGCTTCCTAACTTACAGTAGACCATCCTTTCTGTCTAATTTAATCATACATTATAGGTTGCTTTGCATCTAAGCTCTGTCCTATCAATTCTCGGAATTTATTTTTATCTTGTTTTGTATCCTGGTGTTCCTTTTTTTTTTTTTTTTTTTTTTTTTTAAAGATTGTAACTTCGTTTTGTGATAATTCATGAGAGTTTCCTTCCACTCTAGTTTTCCTAGATAGTTTCTCTTTGCTGGTTGGAGTGAAATTTAGAAGCATCTCATAAATATGTAAGCTGCAAGTCAACCCAGCAAGACTGTTTGACTAACTCTTTATAGATACATTCCAAGAGCCTGCTGTGATTCTATTTTCTGAATAATCAATCTGTCACACCCTAGTGGGAAAAAAAAAACAATAAACAAACAACCCAAAAAACAAACCAGTAATCCTGTTCAAATATTGTGATAAGTTTCATAAATATTTTTACTTATCCTGAGAGCAATAAAGCTTTAGCCTTTGGGTGTGGTTTTTTGCACCCACCTATTTCTGTTCTTTGTTCTTACATTCATTTTAGCTTAACATGAAAAAATAATCTTATGCGTAGTAATTCAGTGGCAGCCATCAGAAACAGCTATAAAAAGTTTGAGATAGACCTTAAACATATTTTGTTCTTACTGAAAATTAAGATTTTGGGGGAGGAAAAAGAATGCATGTGTTTACATTAGCTAATGTAAGCTCTTCTGATTTTGGCAGAGCACAGTTGTCATATATTCCTCTTTCAAATCCTTTGATAGCTTTCTCCTCTCGCTGTTTTCTGCCCCAAAATAATATTGTGTAAGTTTTCTTTGCTGTGAATGCTGTTCTTTTCAGTTCTAAGTTTGGTGGTTTTTTTGGCTGGGGGAGGGACATGTAGGGGAGTTGTTATAAGAATTGCGTTATTTAGCCTTATGCTGAGGAACTTTTATGTGTTGGATAGACTGGTTTTTAGTGGTTTCTCAGTGGATATCAAGATGTTTAGTGAATTTTACTTGAGCTACCTGGGCAGTATCAATTTACAGACGGTAAGAAGAATATAGCCCACAGTTTTTTTGAGGGCCTGCTTT